TGTGCTTTCAAGCATCTTTGGCTCTAACATGGGGACAGACAAGAACATAAATATGGGAAAGTGAGATAAATTGGGCTGGCAACATGTCATAGTAGAATACTGGACTTGAAATCAGAAAACCTGGGTTCTTATCATGACTCATAGCTAGCCCATACATTAAGCCTATTTGGGGTTCCTGATTCTGTCGTCTTGTGTATTGGGCTATCCCTCCCGGATTTCTGTCATGTAAATTTGATAAAAGTGTCATCAGTGCCTTCAAGTTGTTGATCAAAATGTCAAGCAGTATAGAGCTGAGGACCGAGTGCTGTGCCAAACCGCTATAGATCTCCCTTCCCAAATTATCTTGTATTTATTTATTCTTATTTTCCGTAGTAGAATATAAACTCCTTGAGAGGAGGAATATTTATTTTGTCTTTTGATCCCTAGAATCTAGCACCATACATAGTAGATGATTAATAAGTATTGTTGAGATGAACTGATATTGATCCATTAATTAAAACTTTGAAACTAGTTCTTCATTTAATCCTCGGTTCACTTACCTTGATGATCTCCCAGCCTATATTTATCTTCTCCATAAGGATATTACAAAAAATTGGATCAAATCCTTTGTTAAAATCTAGATTTAGGCTATGTCTGTTGCAATTTCTTGAATTTACTGTTTAGCAAACCTTTCAGAAAAGGAAATGTTAGTGTCATGACTTGTTCTTAGTGACTTGTTCTCATTGTTTTTGAGTGCAAGTTGTTCACTGGTTATAACTGCTTCCATTTATAAATGTTCACAAGTCATCCATTTAATAACTATTCTGGAATTTTGCAATCCATTGTCTTTCCCTTTTTAAAAACCAGGCAATTTTCTTATTTCCATTCCTGAGGTTATCTGTTCTTTTATTCTCCAGAATTCCTCAGGAATCACTGACATCAATAGTCACCTGAAAGTTCTTCTAGTGATACTCTGGGATGGAATGTAAAAGAACCTTGTACCTTGAACTTATTTAAAGCAACCTCTATTCTATTGTCTCTTCACTATCTAAAATGTCAGTTCCTTTTTCACCATTTTGCCCTTTCAATGTGAAGATCATTCTCCTTTAAAAAAGAAAACAGAAGGAACACAGGAGTTAAGGGGCTTTTTCTATTAATATCACTCAGGCCATGTGGGCCTGTTACCAAAGGGAAGTTTTGATGTAGTGGTAAAAATGCCTGGATTTGGAGTCCAAGGACGTGGGTTTGAAGCCTAACTGACAATAGCCCTGTGAATTGGATGAGTCATGTAATATAAAGTGTATACTTGCCCTGCCTATTTCATAGGATTGTTGTGAGAATGAAATGAGATATTTTACATTTTATGTAACATGCTTTAGAAACCATAAAACATTACATAAATTGCAACCACAATGATTCCTTCTGTGTTTCTCTTTTGTCAGTATTTCATAAACCAAGAAGACAAACTAAGATAGGAACAGACCAGGCAGGAACAGACCTGAAGGAAGTTGGCCAGAGAGTAATTTGAGTAGTCGTTTAGGGGAATTTTGCACAATAACTTCTTTTTTTTTTTATTGTTGTTTGTTTTGGTGATGCAATTGGGGTTAAGTGACTTGCCCCGAGTCTCACAGCTAGTATTATGTATCTGAGGCCGGATTTGAACTGGGGTCCTCCTGACTCCAGGGCCAGTGCTCTATCCATTGTGCCACCTAGCTGCCCCTGCATCACAACTTATTTGACTGAGGAGAGAGGAACTGACCATTCCTCCTCAGTCTCCTTCACCCAATATAGCTGGGCTTTTATTCAAGAAAGAAATTTTCCTTCTTTGTTGAAATTCTCACCTAGTTTTCTAACCATTCCCTTTCTGTCCTTTTTGTTATTACCTTTGTTCATTCTTCTTCCTGCTAACTATGGTGTTTTGTAAGATTTGTTTTTTTCTTTGTATTTGCTGAGATTATTCATTCTCTTCAGCTATAATTTCTGTGATGAGGAATTTTGTTTTAACTCTAATCCTGACCTCTATTATACATTTTGCCCAGAATTTACAACTGCAGATGCAAACATCTCCATTTAGATATCCTGCCATTATCTCTAGTTTAAATATTTGTTTTATTTCTTAACATTCACATTTCCTTTATTTTAGTGGCATCATTTTTTAAATCTTTCTGGCTAGAAATTTTGTCGTCATTTTTTATTCTTTATTCTTTTTCATCCCTTAAGCCAGAAAGTTACCAAATCCCATCATTATTTTCCTGATAAATGTTCCCTATGTGGCTAACACCTCATTTAGACCCTTGCCACTTCGCATTTGAATCATTAAGATCTCCCTCTAACTTTTCTCCCTGTTATCAATCTTGCCTCTTCAATCTGTCTTATATGTTACCATCAGGCTTATTTTTTTTAAAAAAAATATGTATATTTTCATTATGTCACCTGCAAAACAACCTACTGTGGCTACCCATTGGTGACTGGATCAGGTTAAACTCCTCTGGCTAACTTTCTGGGCTGTCCCTAATCAGGTCCTATCCTAGTATTCAATTATATTTTTTCCACTGCTCCCCTATAAAACTTTATCTACACTCAGATTCATTTCTTCACTGTTCCAGCAGCACATCATGCCCATTTCTTCCTTATCTTTGTTTTTGCTATTTTCCTCCTGTGGTCCACTACTTCCACCTGACCTCTGCTGCATTCTCAATCCTTTATCTCAAATCCAGTACTCTTGCTGCTTCCCAATTACATCGGAAAACTGAAGCCCAGAGAAGTCACTCTAGTAAATATGCCCTAGCTCATTCCCAGTTATTCTGGGAAGGCTCCTATGTGTTATGCTGCAACACACATTGATTTCTTCCTTCTTTGAACTCCAATAGTATTTATATTCAGTACTACACAATTGATCACTTTAACTATTCTTTCATTGTTTCCCCCCCCCCCCCCCCCAGCTACATTGAAAACTCTTCAGGCACAAGATCTCTTTCCTCTGTATGACGGAGTACAGTACAGGGCAGATCATCTTTTTTGATCAGGACTTGTGATTTCATCACTATAGGGAACTCCCAGTAAGAAAACTCCATCTTTTAGTGCAAATGAGTTAACTTATCTTTGCTTATAGTTTTAGAGCAGGAGTTCTTAACCTGGGGTCTATGAACTTTTTTTTTTTAAGAGAGAACTATTTTAATATTGTTGGTTTCTGTTGTAATCCTATACATTTTATTTTATGCATTTAAAGACATTATTTTTTTTTATTTTTTATTTTTTTAGGCAACTGGGGTTAAGCCCAGGTTCACACAGCTAGTAAGTGTCAAGTGTTTGGTCTGAGGCTGGATTTGAACTCAGGTACTCCTGACTCCAGGGCCGGTGCTCTGTCCACTGTGCCACCTAGCTGCCCCTTAAAGACATTATTCTGAAAAGGGATCCATTAGCATCACTAGACTGCCAAAAGGATTCAGGACACCAAAAAGTTAAGAACCTTTGTTATAGAGAACTGCTTGGAGACACTGAGAGGTCAAATTACTTGTTCATGTCACACAGCTAGTATGTCAGAGACAAGACTTGAGTTTTTTATACATGTTGCCTCTCAGTAAGCTGATTGATTATAATGCTGATTTGGACAAAAATATCCCTGGAAATCTATTTCATAAAGTAGGTATACAATGAGTTGATCATGAGGTAACCTGATGAAAGAGAGGATGACACTGAAAATGCCTGTCACTAGAAAAGCAGCTCAAATTCATGTCCTGTGTAAGGAAAATGAGTCAATAGAATCCTCATGTAAAAGGATAAATTATTACTTCTTAAATCTTTAAAGACAGATTTTAAATTATCATTGCTAATATTAGCAATTAAGTACTCTACTAGTATTCTCATGTTATTCTCATGATAGACTAATGTTCCCAGCATGTGTGGCATACCACATAAAAAATTCAAAGTATAACTAGTTATAAGTAATTTTTCAGGTATGTTATTAAGCTTGTGATGACCAAGTGTGAAGCAGGAAGCATTGTCAAATTTTTAATGGAAACTTGTGTTATATGTTTTTGTAACTCTGACACACCCTCAATCAGTTTTACATTCATCTTGTAGTACTGGACTTGGCTCCTAAGCCGTTTAGATATTTCCTTTTTTACTTTGTTAAGGTACCAGTGTGGGGAATATAATTTGAGTTACTTAACCTTTCACTCCTCTTGACAACTCTCTAACATTGTATGTTTTAAGACATGCTACTGACCTGGATTGAAAGAATAGCATTTCTTCACCTTGAAGTTCCTTATGCCAATGAAAACACGTGTCAAGTCATTTTCCTTAAACTAAAAGATGTGCAATCAAAGGATTCTGTTTAAATGTTGGAAGTTATAAGCAACTATCTTGATGTTTCTCTTAGGTGTATTTATCTAAAAGACTCTGGGAGCATGCATAGTAATAGCCTTATTCATTCTGTAACTTGTTTCACTAGCTTTTCATTTTAGGTTCTTGAATAATCCAGTTGCCTCATCAGTTTCTGCAGTTCTACCTTTCTTTTCCATTTTATACAGAGTAGACTCAACTTGTGGCCCCAGCACCACTTGTGGCAAAAACCATTGCTCTTAGTACAGCACCTTCTCCTGGAGATAGGAGTATCTATAAATAAAATTTGACATTTATTTTTTACATTAATCCATTTGTAACTTCCCTTTGGTGAGATTCTGTGGTTCTTTTCTTAACAAATACATGAAAGTTCATAATATAGGCACTCTGTAATTTACTAACTCTAGAGTTGATATTTTCCTTGCCAATTATAGACACAACCAAAGCATTTCTATATCATAAAATATAATGAAAATTGTTTATTTTTAACCCACATTGATATATTTATTTATTTGTGTAATACATGTATTTCATTTACTGAAAATTATATCTGGAATTTTTGTATGATTTTTATAGAACCATTTTAGTATGGCAGACTATTTATTCTTCCCCACTCAGACTTTGTGCATCTTTTCACCTGAATGACTTAGCTGATTGATGTCTGTTTTCTGGTGTAGGTTGCGCAACAGTGATGACACAAGACTGACTACGTTCATCACAGTAAGTTCACAATTATAATTAACACTTTAAAGCCATATTTTGTTTTTCTCTTGAGCTGTATAATTTATTGGTGGCTTCTTCTAATTGGTCAAACTGATTCATCAATTCATTGCAAAATCAAATTTTGAATTTTTCCTTGGTTACTTAAATTATAACTTTAGTATCAATTGTAATTATTTGAATATTTTAAGCTCCTTCAGGTTAAATAATGTTGATTTTTGTTCTTCTATCCTTAGAACCTCAATAATTATGTGTTGCTTGCTTAAGATATTGCTAAAAGATTTGAAATTTAAAAATAAACTAAAAAAGAATTGTAAGATCATGTATTTAGCACTCTGAGAGGGACCTTGAAGGATTAAGCTTTAATTTATAGGAAAAATATTTTCAATTATAATTAATTTTAGTAATTTTTTAGTAAATTCCACATTTTGTTGTTATTTATCTAAAATTATTATTGTTAATTAAAAATAAAACACACCAAATTACTGGCAATAGATAGGAACTTTTATGGTACCTAAACTATTTGTATCTTTTTTTTTGCCTAAATTAATTTAGTCACTATACAAATCCTCATCTATGACCATTAGTTTATAACACTGAAGAAACATAATAGTTAGGATTAACAAAATAATATCTAAAGTTAGTCATCAAACAGTTATTAAGCACTTACCTTGTATCAAGCAATGAATCACACTAAAAAGCATAAACAAAGTAAAAAATATAAGTAACATATAATTGTTCATCCATTCAAAGTTTTTGATTTTTTTTGATGGACCCTTTAGTAATATTTTAAACAAGCAACAAACACTTATTAATATGTAGGGCACTATCATAGATTTGAATTAGTTAGAGGAAGAGTTGTTCTGAGTTAGTGAAAAAGTTTGACTTATCAAACTATTCTAAAAGAAATAAAGTTTTATTACTTTTAAGCATATTCACTAACTCAAGCAAGGCCAGCCAACAAAGCTTTGTTTACTGGAAATCTTTACGTTTGTTTCTTTAATGAATTTATTTAAATGATTTCTAATTAAAATATAATGTTAATTATGTTAATGGTCCTTATAAAGTAGATGGAAATACTTGGGGAAATGTTTGTTTTCTTAATTATGTTGGCACCCCTTCCTTTGATGTTGCTAACACTGTTAAATTTTACTGTCCATAAAGAAAGGATTTGTTTAGTAGAGATAAACTTTAGTTAGCCTCAATTATTTCACATTCAGAATTATTGAAGTTGGAATTATAATAATTAGGTTTCACTGTATTTTAAAGGATGTTTTAAATTGTAAAGTCATCTAAAATGGATTCAAGAGTTTCAACCTTGAGTTGTAGTTTTCCAATTTAGACACAATTGAATTTCATACTGTGGTGCTGTGATCAAAAGATCTTGCTCTATAGATTTTGGGGGAAAAAATACCTTATCATTAGTCAGGGAACCAAGATGTAGTAATTAGCAAAATAAATACAAGAAATACCCCCATGTAGATAGTTTTTATATTCATTTTTGACTTTTGATATGATTATTAATCTTGTTCAGTCTATACTAGGAGAGATTTGAGAGGACTATAATTCTCTTTTAAACCACTTTATTCTAATCATTTTAGCCTATTTTTCCATTGTATAAAGAGAGACAGACAAAAGCCTACATATTTATTGCCTAAAGAAATTTTTTAACTCTGTGATTTGTAGTTTTTATGTTGGAGATTCAAAACTTCCTTTGTTATACTGACCGAATATTTTGCAATGGAATACTAGGGTGTATAACAGTAGCGACCTTCATGCCAACATCCCAGGGGTGCTTTATAATTAGGAAAGTTAAAATTAGCTCTAGAAGCACAAAAATTGCTAAAACAATCAGTTTCAAATGCTGACCATAACAAATCACTTTACGGTTAGATTTTAAAATCCTAACAGTTGGAATGCTTTAAAAAAAAATAGGAAATGCAAACCAAACCTGGCTGATAAAAGCTTTATGGGTAATGTAGCTAATTAGGAGTGGCCAAAAAAAGACCAACATCTTTATCTAAAAACCAAGTTCAGAGAGAGAGAGAGAGAGAGAGAGAGAGAGAGACAGTAAAAAAAAAGTAGTTGTGTTAATGAGGAAGGGACAAGTGATTTGTAAGTCAAAAAGAATCATTTTATAATGAATGCTATTTAACAGGGATTAAATTAGAATCAGGTTGGGGAAAATTTACTCATTGGACAGAAGAAACAATGGGCTAAGTACAAAAGAAGTGCTACTAGCCTAGTTAGGCAGAGCTTCTATGACTCATGCACAAGACTTTTGTAAAGGAAAAGTACTTTTATTTCTTCATTTTTATAGAAATTTTATAACCATAAATATTTTGCAAAAAATTATGATGAATCCATTTCTAATCTATTTTCGGTGAATGGAAGCGAATGGAAGCATCTAAATTATGGAGAAATGCATTCTTTAGTTTTATACAAGGAGTAAAAAGAAAAACTTCTCTTCTCTAGTAGCAATGAAGTACCTTTCTCTATGTTCCTAGGCTACTCTTTCCTCCTTTGATCTTTCAAGGATTAAATGTACCTCCCTGACTCAGAATTCCTTAAGAGTGAAAACTTTTGACTTCTTCCGTTGTTACCTTTTTTACATGTTGTAGGATTTGGCCCCTTGGTTGAATATCAGGCTAAATGACTGAAGTTTCTGTGCCCTTTAAAGCTATAAAAGAAGCATGCCCAGATTCTCAGAATTGCAAGACCTCTCATAGGCCATCTAGACCAGAGGCGTCAAACACATAGGAGGCCTGAGTACATACAGCCCAAACAAAATTAAAATGTAATTTGGAAATATTGAACAAAATAAATAAAAATTCACGAATCCTTGTGTGTGGATTAGGAGTCCCTCTTTCTATTTGAGTTTGACACCATTGCTATAGATTAATTCTAAAATAACCAAGATACCCAACTAATGGTTATTCAGCCTTTGCTTGATAACCTATTCCCAACGCAGCCCATTCCATTTTTGAACAGCACTGGTTACTAGGAATGTCCCCCTTATGTTGAGTCTAAATCTATATTTTCTACCTAGTGTTCCTAGTTTGCCTCCTAAGGTTAAGCAGAATTTAATCTGTCTTCTACATAATGGTCCTTCAAGGATAGATCCTTGTGAGATTCCATTAGAGATGTGTATCTAAGTTGAAATCAAAACATTGATGACTCTTTGAGTTCAATCGCTTCCTCCATGTTGAATCTATCTAGTTGTGTTATATTCTAGTGCATACCTCTCCATCTTGTCCACGAGGTTAGCACAAGACACTTTACTGAGATAGTCTGTGCAGCATTCCCCTAAACTACTCATCGAGTTACTATGTCATAAAAGGAAATGAGGTTATTCTGGCATGACCTATTCTTCCTGAAGCCATGCTGCTTTGTAGTCATCACTATCTCCCTTTTTAGGGCAGGTAGGTGGGATAGGGGATAGAATGCTGGGCCTGGAGTTAGGAAGACTCATTTTCCTGAGTTCAAATGTGACATTAGACACTTACTAATTGTGTGACTTAACCCTCTTTGCCTCAGTTTCTCATCTGTAAAATGAGGTGGAGAAGGAAATGGCAAACCACTCCATTATCTTTAAGAAAACCCTAAATGAGGTCATGATGAATTGGACATGACTGAAAATGACTCAGCAACAACAACATGTTCTTGGCACTGGGTTGAACTGTTGGAATAAAAAGAAAGGCAAAAATACAGTCACTCTCACAAAGCTCACAGTGTAATGGGGGAGACAACATAAAAAAATTCTGTACAAACAGGTATAGATACAGGATAAATCAGAGTTAATCAATAGGACATTAAAGGGGACTGGAAAAAGCTTCTTGAAAAAGGTGGGTTTTTGGTTTTGGCAGGGACGTGAAGGAAGCCAGGAGATCAAGGTGAGGAGGGAGAGAATTGTAGGGACAGGGAACAGTTAGTGAAAATGCATGGAGAGAGGCGATCATGTCTCACTCCATACGCACACAGAACCCCCATAGCTATTAATTGAAGCTGCCCACCAAAAGTTGTTTCTTGTAAGTTCAGTACACAGAATACATACTTACATGTCTACATAACTGACACACATATAACATCAGCTTATAAAGAGGAAGAGCCTTGATGATTCAAATAAATTAATGCCAAATTTTTAATATCTATCATATTCATCCTAGTAACTAAATCAAATTGATTTTAGGTTTTAAAGTCTTTGTTCTCATCTTCCTGCTGCTCTGCTATTTTGAATCAGTCTGCTAAAGCTTTCAGCTCCTCTGTAATATTTTCCAGAATATAAAATATATTTACCTTTAAGCACTTTACATTTCTCACAGAGACTTAATGCCCTAGGATAGACCCTGAAAAAGAACTTTTTTTTTCTTTGTTGTACCTTATGTAATGTCCTCTCTCCAATCTTGGGTGAATTCTCTCCCTCAGATCCTATTTATTATATTTACTAAAAAGCTCTGCTTTTAGCTAAAAAATTGTTCTCTTGTGCTTTAGAGATTCTGTTTTCATTAAGCAAATTGAATTGTATGTCCTCAACTCCATATCACTTCATTCCAAAATAATTTTGTTTTCAGATCCAAGATTTTGAATTCTACCTGATCTTTGAGTGTACATGCATATATGGGTGTTAGTGGTAAAAATGGACCTGCCTTGTTATTGTGGAGGTTGAGGTGAGACTTTGATACAGTCATGAATTCTTAGTTTGTAATTATAGTAACAACATGTAGTTTTTGAGATCCACTCAAGGGCACGAGGTGCAAACAAGCTCAATGACTTGTGACTAACCCTGAGGTATACAGTGATTGGCTTTAAGTGAAGACTAAGGATGGGTGCCCAGTCTCCACCGGCTTTTGGAGTCCAGTTTTTGTCACTTTAGATAAGCCCATAACATAGAGCTAGGTTGTGGCACATCTGGAAATGCAAGTTCATACCTAGAAGACAAATTAGTCAGGAGGAAATAGCCATGGAGTGAGATAAGACAGTCAAGACTCAGGAGCGCTCAG